TTCCTCTTTACCTGGGGAAACACCTGACGTACATTAGCGTTTCTACCAAACTAGTTCTGTACTTTGCTGCACCCATTTCCTCGCTCTTTGAAATGGATTTGCTCATTTCTAATGGATTTGCCTTTTGGTTTGGTTGACTGCAGCAGTCCACCAAACCAGCAGACAAACACCTGCAACAGTCAGTATTATCTCCGTTGCCTGTCCACCTCCTTCCCCGGTGTTAAGAAGCTGCCTTTTAAATACCCTCCCGTAAAGGGCTTCAAGATCCCGTGCTGCTCTTTTATTTAATTCGCACCATCTATCACAAACTATCGGACCAACATATGAGCTGTTGCTTAGGATAAATACACATTATATAACATATTTCATCCACCTTGCTCGCTGGCAGGGACTGTAAACATAAGCGACCAGGTCCACGACACCGCCAACCACAGCGGGAGGAGATAGGGGACACAAAAGAGGCATAACACTGATTTAATTAGCCGTATAATTAGAAAAGTGTATGTAGGAATCTATACGGGAGGTTGAGGCTTCCCAAAAAATGCCCATTATTAATAGAAGAAACGAATTAAAACAGCAAAAAGAGCCTAAACTCACCAGCCTTCGCTCAACGACATCAGCGGCTCCAACGCAAGTGTCTTTCAGGAAGGGAGCAACACACAGCGGCAACGGATGCAACCAACTGTACCGAAAAATTAGGGGGGCCGGGGACTCGACCACACACAATGTTCGGAAGAAAGATACTTGTCATCTATGACTAACATTTGGAAGATAACGAGAGTAATTTATATGTAGCGTGGTAATTTAAATGATTATTAAGTTGAGTACGAGACAAGGAATAAAACTGTGTAAAGTTTTATCCCCCTCTCCTAATGAATTGACTCGTACTGCCTTTCTTTTCGTTCACAAGCTGCTGCTGCTGCTCAGCTAATTTACAAGAAAGAAATATACAGAAATCAACCGTTAGCAACTTTTTTTTGTAGAGCAAATTGCCTGACTTAAAAAAAAAAGTTCAGCAGCTGCCATGAAAAGTAACTGCCACTTCTAACTGAAAACAATTTTATTAGTCAGAGAGATGTTGTAGTGTCCAACTTCGACCAGCAGGTGTCAGAAGCGTCCGCAAAAAAACTACCCTAATCTTCAGGTTTAGGTATCGTGACAGAGGATAAGCGTTTGTTTTATCAAAAGTAAACAGTTTCTTCAAGAGCTAGAGAAGAACCGCGGGTTTGGCATATTAAAGCAAAATGCAACAGTTTCGTTTATTAATACTATAAAGAAGAGTGGTTCTGCTGAGACACTGATTAGAGTAAGCAGATCCTTCCAAACTGGGACTAAAGTTAATAATGCTGAGAGGTTTGTGTAACACAAGCGAACTATACTTCTTAAAGTTTAAGGATAAATGTGCTGTATGTCATTTCAGTCCCAACTTATTCTAATCATAAATGTCTTTTTTGATGTCTTTGTAAACTTGTGCACTTAATTTTCTATTGTGATGCAATTCAGAGCAGCTCTTTCCTTTCTTGGCTCTGTTTGTTTTATTTTATTTATTTTATTTTATTTTTTTTTTGTTGTTGGCATGTTCACTTTTGTAAGCTAGAGCCAAACAAAATCTTGAAAGGGACCTACATGTAAAAGTGGGTCACTTGGTCGCTGATGTATCATGAATGTGTATAATATGTGTAATAGTGTGTCCAATCATGTTTTCATGTATTACTGGAGAAAAAAGGGACTTAATTGCAATTAAACAGCAAAAATTAACATTTTGTTACACATAAAAAAAAGATATGAACAAAAATGTGTATTTTAATGGAGAGAAAAAAGTTAGGACACCCTACCCCCTAATAACTAGTGTTGCCCCCTTTGGCTGATATAACTTCAGTGAGACACTTTTTGTAGCCTTTTACCAGTCTCTGACATCGATTAGAAGAAAGTTTGCCCCACTCCACAATGCAGAATTCTTTCAGCTGGGGGTTTCTTGCATGTACAGCCCGTTTCAAGTCACCACACAGCATTTCAATGGGATTAAGATCAGGGCTTTGACTTGGCCATTCCAGTACTCTCCACTTCTTAGTTTTTAGCCAGTCCTTGGTGGATTTGCTGGTATGCTTTGGGTCATTGTCATGTTGCTGTCTCCAGTTCCGCTTCAGCTTTAATTGTTTGTTTGTTTTTTGTTTTACAGATGATTTCACATATTCTTCAAGCACCCTCTGATACACAGTCGAATTCATGATGGATTCTATGATGGTGAGCTGGCCAGGTCCTGCTGCAGCAAAGCATCCCCAAACTATGATACTGCCACATCCATGCTTCACAGTTGGTATGAGGTTCTCTTCTTGGAAGGCTGTATTTGGTTCATGCCAAACATGTCTACTGTTCTGGTGTCCAAATAATTCAATTTTAGACTCATCAGTCCAAAGAACATTATTCCAGAAGTCATTGTCTTTGTCTATGTTCACTCTGGCAAACTTCAGTCTGGCCTTAATGTTTCTCTTAGAGAGTGAAGTTTTCATCCTTGAACACCTCCCATAAAAGTCAAACTTGTGTAGTCTCGTTCTGATAGTAGAGTCACGCACTTTCACATCGACAGTAGCCAGAGCCAGCTGTAGTTCCCTGCTACTCTACACCAACCCCACTACACGAAGATGCCACACCAATAAAACCACTGTAGAGGAAGTAAACAACAGTGATTATCTTATTAGAACGCAGTGTTCTTCAGAGAAATATTGGTTCCTGGCATTCGTGTGGATGTTTCTTTGACACATAACACGTGCCCAAACATTGTTGCGAACCAAGCAAACAATGAACTGCGACCCCCCCCCCCAAAAAAAAAAAAAACAATGCTCAGGAAGGGCTTAAAGGAAGAGCTTTTGATTTAGCCTCCAAATTTCCCAGATTCCAAGGACTGCATCCGCATGATACGTGAGGTCTTGAGGAACCAGAGGTGTGAAGGGTCAGAGGTGATTTAGCCGCAGGTAGGGGACTTACACAATGTTAGGAAGGTGGTTTTAATGCTGTGGCTTGGTGGTGTATTTCACATGAAAATATGCTGCTTCTTTTACTCCACTACACAAAAGTATAAAACCTTTAAAACTAGCTAGGGTACTCTTTCCATTTTTGAAAATAGAAATACTATTATAGTTTTAAATAGTTTCAGAGGCGAGTGAAATGAGCTCAAAGAAAAAGTCAAGCTTTGGTTTTTTGCGCAGTTTTGTCAAATCAGCAAAATCTTCTGTCTTTCACATTTGTTTAAAATGTTAAAGAATAAAACAAGAAATGGAAGACTTCTGACCGAGAACATGAGGTACCAGGCAGAGAAAGCGCAGCAGCAGATTGGACTGAATAATTGTGAGGAACATCAAGCAGAGCAGGTGTGAAACAGCAGCAGGGATCACTTCTAGGATAAATGAGACTTACCAAATGCAAGTCTGTTTACAGAACATTTAAAGTAGAATCAAGGAATTTGGATAAAAAGGGTGTGTGATGTTTAAAACTCAGAAATTATGGCTATGATTTTCAAACAGACATGTACTGTTGTTTGTTTTTGTAAATATTTGGATGCAAACTTAAATCAGCCAAATACATAAATAAAAATACACCTTTTATTTACATTGTAACTGCATACCCCTCTGAAATCCTTTGCTATAACCTGATATACACCCCCTAGAAATGTAACTACACGTCGACTCTCACCGACATCTTGGTTAGGTACACCTCTTCAACTCCTGATTAGCCGATTACATGGCCTGATCTCAGTGCATTTGGTCGTTATGGTCAAGATGACTTGCAGAAGTTCAAGCCAGACATCACAAGGAGAAGAAAGGTGATTTACGTGACTATTAATGTGGCATATTTGTTAGTGCCAGATGAGCTGGTCTGATTATGTTAGAAACTTTTGATGTACTGGGAATTTCCCACAGAACCATCTCTTGAGTTTACCGAAAATCATCTGAAAAACAAGACACCCAGCCAACAGCAGTTCTCTCGGTGAAAATATCTTGTTGATGCAAGAGGTGACTGGCCATATTGTTTTGAGCAGCTAGGAAGGCAAAAATAAGTCAACCACTTGTTACAACCAAGGTTGTAACCAGAAGAGCATCTTTGAATGTACAGCACGCCAGTCTTTGAAGCAGATGGGTTACAGTAGCAGAAAACCACAGTCTGTACCACTCTTGTCAACTAAAAACAGGAAACTGAGGCTGAGATGTGTATGTACTAAGCAAAATTAGACAAGAAAAGATTGGAAAGATGTTGCCTGCTCTGATTCTCAATTTCTGCTACGGCATCCTGATGGTTCGGTTATGATGGCTTCTTCCAGCAGGATAATGCACAAACTTCAAATCATCAAGATCATCAGATCTGAATCCAACAGAGCACCTTTGGATGTGGTAAAACAGGAGATTTGCATCATGGACTCAAACATGACAAATCTGCAGCAACTGTCACACAGTTGCTTCAGTGGACCCAAACATGGACTAAATCTCTGAGGAATGTTTTAAGAGAATTAAGACGGCTATGACAAAAGAGATTTAACATGGTACTAGCAAGGTGTACCTAATAAAGCGTCTGATGAGCGTATGTGACCGAAGTCGATCTTCAGCCTTCCCGTTGTAGAAATATTTTGCAAATGAGGAAATTAAATTCACAGAATATCCCACAGAGCACATGCAGCATACAGAAGCGTGAATGAGCGGATATCTGTGCCCTCTGTCACATGGAGGAAACCACAGCTATTTCAACTAGTTGACTTCATGGCCCAATATTGTCAAGCAGTTTCTGCAAACTGCAAGGAACCCAGCCTAGTTTCTGAAAGACTGTGACTGAACTCTTTAGGGCAGCCACTGCTGCATGACCAGAGTGTTTTCTTGAATATGTATTTTTTTTTAAATATATAATTTAAAGTGTAGTTGTGCCATTTTGCTTTAAAATAATTTGCTTAATCTTTGACATTTTGTCATCTAGTGCAGTTGACCTACATTTTTTTAAAGTGTGGTTTTGGTATCCAAACACATTTTTGAGGTTACCTTACATGTAATACACAATATACAGTGATGTGTGGTATCTTAACAAAAGAAAATGATTCTTTCAGCAAAACTGTACACACAAGATATGCATTTTACAACAAAGATTGGATATAGATGTAATATATTATGATGACTGTAGACTACACCTCTCTCCATATTTACATTTTTATTTCCAGCACGGCTTATATATATTTATATATACATATATATACAAATATAAACAATAAGTAACAGTTTCTGCCTTCAAAGTGGAAATAGTTGTGTACCTTAACATCAGTCTTTCATGCATATGAGTCTTGCTTTGTGTGCTCAGTGCAGTAATTGGAACTCTCCGGCACTGACATTAGTGACTGTTTGCCATCTTCTTGCTGTGGGGTGCTAAAGGACTCCTCTTCCTCTCCATAGGGGAGCTTACAGTCAGGTTTTATCAAGTCCGCAGGTATGAAAGCTGGTGTCCCACAGGACCCGTTTCCTATGTGCAAAGTGATGTTAACGTTGACGTGTGGGCTGGTAGTCATGGGCGTGATGATCTGAGGGCTGCTGGGCTGAGAGGACGTCTGTGTTTGGATACTGGGCTGTGGTGCAGCAAAGTCTTTGTTGGAGTGTAAACTCTTGGGCTCGGACAGAACAGACAATGGATTGTCAAGCGCAAAAGTGGAATGTAAAGGGCTGATGGATTCCTGGCTGCTGCAACCATCAGTTCTAGTTAAAGTTTCGGTATTGGTTGTGCATTGACTGTGATCACTGCTGGCTTCCCCTTTTTCTAGCAGGCACTCATTTTCTTGTGATGCAACTTTGAATAAAGTCAGCTGAGTTTTCCCACTGTATTTCTGCAGGGAGGAAGAAAAAGAGAAGTTCATTTCCAGCGGATTTAAAAAAAAAAAATCACAAACACTGAGCTATTCTGCCATAAAGACTAATTTTATGGTGCCTACCAAGCCCAGTTTTTATTGATGCTTTTATTGGAAGTCGCACTGTGGTTACAGTTAGCAGTGGTGTTGTACTGGACTGGATTATATCAATAAACGTGCAAATGGGAATGTTTCATGATTTAATTGTTGTAAAACTGAACGCAATCAACTTTAAAAGGGGGAGAATAAATGGCAGTGATCTTGTACTGAATTGCAGACCACAGAGGATGTGTACTTTACTAAATGTAGGGTGTATTCAGTATGAAAGATAGAAAGCCGAGACTTACTTCGTCAGCAGTCTCACAGTTTCCGTTTGCATCCACCTTAGGAGATAAACTTGCAGTGTCTAAGAAAAAAGAACAATGGTTGTAAGTAAGAGAGGGAAAGTGTAATAAAAACTGTTCCTTGTAAAGAAGTTAAAAACTAACTGGTCCTTATCATTCTCTAATGTAACTCAGAAATAAACATAATGCCTATAAAAGCATATATTTACCTTTCTTGCAGATTTTTTGATAATAACATAGCAGAAAAAGGATGATGGTGATGACAAGTAATCCAGTGACAGAAGCAATTAATCCAACTAAGAGAGGTAAGCAGAGATACATCTCAATAGAAGCAAAACAAGAGCACTTTTGAAATACTTTTCATACACAGCTGTTTTCTTATGAGTAGTCTGAAAGTTAGTCAGTTATAGTACCATAACTGCTGTCAGGCGGTGGGGTCAGTCGGCTTGTTATTAAATAGGTGGAGGGTTCTTCTGAAACTGAGGCAGACTGTGTGGTGCTTCTTAGCAGAGATGTCGAGCCTGAGCTTGGTGCAACTGTGGTCGTGCTTGTGCTGGGAGTTGTACCGACACTCTTCTTGTGATTGTCAGCTGTTGTCAAATTTGAGTACGGTTCACACACATTGTCTGATTCAGTATTGCCTTCTCTAAGAACAGCCCTCCCATTGCAGCTGAAGAGAACAAAGAGAAGGGTCAGCAATTTGAGTCTGGAACACCTTTGTGGAAATACCATAGCTCTCCTTCACTCACTCTGTGTGGGGCTGGCAGGGGTCAGTGGAGGAGGTCTTGTCAGAGAACGTGCCTTCGGGACATATTTTACACTTCACATCTGAATTTGGTGTGCCTGGCAACAACAGAAAAACATTTAATTTAATGACGTGTTTCACTCTATGACTTGTATTGTATGGAACATGTTACAAAACAACATTAATAAAAGCACTGGCATATTGAGACTTCATGGGAAATATCAGAGAGACTGAATAGAAATCTGTAGAAAAAAACGCTGTAGCTGCGAAGAGTGCATCTGACCCACTGTCCCGAAAAAAGCAGTCACATGAGCACAGTATACCGACAGCTATATTGCACTAAGGATAAAGGTCAATATACTAATAATGTCATAACATGGTATTTGTTGAGTGATTTGGTGGGATGAGCCAGAATAATTGATCATGTTGATGACTCTTGATTGATCTATAAATGAATCTGTAACAGCATATAACTTTGTCAATGAGTGGAACAAATTTTCAAAAAACTTTTTCAAAAAATTAAAGCTGTGAAAAGGCCGATGGGGTATTGTTGTCACACCGCTGGGTGGGCAGGTGGCGTGGATACCTACGTTTGTGAATGCAATAACTCAAGCACAAGGTGAGGTAGGAGTTTCATATTGATACTGTAGGTGTATCTACTAAAACTGTCGGAGTTGTTTGAATCTCGTCAGGTTTTCTGAAAATCTTGTGAATGCGATGACTTCAGAACAAGGCAACGTAGGATTTTGAAACTGATATTATAGCTGTATCTACGAGGAGGCTGAGGGCCGACACCAGAACTTTTTCTATTCCAGTAACCACTAAAGTTAAAGCTATACTTAGAAAAGGGCCTGTTCTTGTTAAATCAAAACATCAACCCAGATAAGTGTGGACTGTGGGAGGAAATTAAAGCACCCAGAGGAAACTCGCACAGGCAATCAGGAGGTCTTGCTTGAGGCAAAATTGCTAACCACTGCACCAGCATGTACCCCTCTCCTTTTATTTTTGTTATATTTTTATTAGTAGTAATTACAGAAGACCCTCACAGAAAGAAGTTGGCTCATCTGACAAATGGTACATCCTTAAATTTCAAAATATTGTTTTAAGATGTACCATAAAAACATAGTGACAAGATATATATAAAAAAAAAGCTTTACCTTTTACATACACTCCCAAGCCAGGTTTGCATTGTTTGTATTTTTTGCAGTCTGAGCAGTATGGATTGTCATATCCCAAGCGGCAGAACCTCCCAGGTCTGCAAATACACTTGGACGGTGTTGTAGAGGAGCAGTTCTGTGCATACTGTAAACCTTTTTCTAGTTGAAGACAGAAAAGTATTCTTTGCTCACATCCATTGCTTGTTGGTATTAAACAAAACAATAACTGGACAAATATGAGTGTAATAACATGGAGATGTACAGTTCATCCACTGACCTTCTTTGCATTTTTGACAGCTATTACAGTTTGGATAGAAGTTAAAGTTCTCTCGATACTGATCCGGAGGACATGGTGTACACACAGTATCGGTAGTTTCAGTGCAACGTGTGTCCCCTCGATAGCCTGTAATTATATCATTTTAGTTACTTAACTTACATTTATATTTAATTTATAAGTTTTATGTGCATTTTATTACTGCACATAGGTACCGTAACTCTACAAAAGCCCCAAAAAGGCCAAAAGCATAAGTTTAATGTTATTTGTCATAGTTGTTAATTGTTCAGCCTAATAAAATCTGGTCATACTTTGATAACGTAACAGTGACACATACAATGCATTATAATACAATACTTTATACTCTGTCCCTGAGTGCATTAAGTTATTGCAACTATAGCATTTAATACACACATTTAACCGATAAAAGGCAGTCCAATAAAATGTCTGCTGCACTCATTCAGTGGTAAAGTGGGAAGTAAAACAATTAACTTCATACTGAGTGGGAGAGATGAGATTAGTGAGCATGGGAGATCAAGTTATCTCATGAGCAGGGGTGGAGCGAGGGCAAAGCGGCTGAAATGCTTCAAAGCAAAACTGATTTCCAGCTCAGTGTGGCCCAAATCACTGTTGTCACAGCAGGAGGTTCACAAAGCCAAAAACACACACAAGCCACTGCTTAACAAAAGAGGAAATAAACAGAGGGAAATCCTTGTGTGAATGCACCTTTTGTTAGTGCAGTCATTACGAAACCCAGCCTACCTGCAGTATTAACCAGCATTTTTGTTCGGAGTCAGGAAGTACACAATTACCAAGCTGGTAGTTTTTGTTGCAGAAAGAACAAAAAAGCCCCTGTTCTCTATTCCTCAAATCCCATAAAGTCCACCACTGAGTAATACCTTAGTATTTAATATATCTGTAGCATTCAAAAGAGTGTTCATTGTTACTACTTGTTGACAGGTACTACCTGTTTATGTTACAGTATACACATTGTATTTTAACTATGAAATTCTACATAGTAATAGCTTGATTTTTCATGTCTATTTCAGTTTGTAATAGATGTGGAACTGTAGACTTTTATGAGGCTTTGTGTGTGCACCTTTCCAAATGAAGTTGGGCGGTCTGTGTTTGTTAAGCTGTGTTATGTGTAAGGTATTAAAATTCTGCTTTAAATCTTTAAGTAATTAACAGTATTGTGCGTTTGCTTTCCTTCGTCTCTGAGGATGAAAGAGCAGCTTATAAATACATGTAATTAGTCACAGTAGGTGAAAATTTCCTTCTTTCACACCTTCACTCCCAAGTTTTACTAACACGTTTCATGACATGCTTAGTGCTCATCGTGTAGTGATGCAACTTTCAGAATAGCTTATGCCTGACCATTGTTTATCTAGTCTAACTGTTGTGGTGGAAAGTTTTGTAAAAAAAAATGCAGTCTTTGTTATGTTTACAGGACAACTCTTACCAGGGCGACACTTTGTACAGCACAGGCCATTGTGATTGTACTCTGTGTCATTTCGACACTGTCCATTTTCACTCTTGTAGGGTGTAGAGCAGACCTATGGGAAACAGACAAATACTTGAGCGCATCTCATTTTCTGCTCCTTAGATGTAGACAGCGAAGAATGCTGTAACCCTCCAACCCAGAGCCAGTAATTCAGGTAAATTTAGTAATTCTGAAATTACAAATTTATGTGGAAAGTGTATGACGTTTTTGCTATAAATGTTCTCAGAAGTAGACAATAAGCGTAAACATTAGCAAACTCAGTTAAGATAGTAATTTCAAAATCAAAGATTTAGTCACTGTCTGATATAGGAAACAGACAGGTTGAGATATAACCTGCTGTACTTTTGAGTATGTTAAATAGGACCTTAAAGTAGAACCAGACTACCCACACCTTCGCCCACTTTTTCCTTTCTGGTAATGGTGCTGGCCCCAGTGCAGACATGGTCAAACAAGCAAACTCTTGTTCAGAATTCATAGGAAGTGACTCTTTTTTCTGCAGTATTTCTGGGTGTTTGGGCAGTGCACGCATACCAATGCCTTAACTCACATGCCATCTCTGCCTGTGCTTCTGTCTCACACACCAAAAGATAGTAAAGACTGAAGTACATTGTAGCTGCTTGCACACCTGTCCTATGCACACACAAAAAAAACATGAAACTCCCTCACCGCAGTGGCCTCCAATGACAAGCAAAATGAACGATTATGCTGACTGCAGCACCGTGTTTCTCGTATTACAGGAAACAGAGGCGGCGACCTGGAAGCGCTGGGTTCCTAAGCAGTAAATTCTTGTGTAGTGTGACCACCGGTACTACTGCGAGTCATGACAAAGGTGATTTATGAAGCACTTTGTTCTTATTTCCTGACAGTTAATCAGTGATAATAGTCTGTGTTTTCCTCCAGCTCTCGGCTTCATGCCTAAAACAACTAATGATTTACAGAAAAGCACAGTGATACAGGGAGATAACAGAAAGAGCTGCTCCTTCATTTCTGCAATGAGATATTCAGTCTGAAACTCCATTAGAGAGCAAGTAACCGAAACCAAACATTCATACAGGTTCACCACAGCACAACCTATTCATTAAAATTCCACGGTAAAACTTACTGTAATATGATCTCATTGATACAGACTATTAAGAAATGCTTTAAAAGAAATGAAAAACTCTCCGTTTGTTGGTTTCAGGACAGGTGATCAGATTAAACAATATACAGTAACACATTAGAAAGGTTAAATTACATGACAGAAGTTAGACATCTACATTAAATCTTTACTGTTAATGACGGTCTTTCAGTGATTTCAGAGAACTGCGTCTTTAGTTCCTTTTCCATTTAAACTGTCCCTCTGGTCATTAGCTGAATCCCACTGCACTGGCATTCATCCAGTCTGCGATGAACAGTACAATCAAGCATGACAGACTTAAAGACAGTGACAAAGCCTACCTTGATAGTTTGGGCACACAGCAGAAACAGCAGTAAAAGCGTGTCCTTCATTGCTTCTTTAAAGTAAACCACAGAGGAGACGAGTCGGCAGCCAGCGTGCGCACTGTACTTTTCATTTCTAGGCGGGTCAACGCTCACTGTGCTCATGTGTAAGCAGGAGTAGTTTCCTTGAACTGAGTTAAGTAGTTGAAGGAAGTAAACCAGTAACACGTATTCACATGTCTGTAAAAACCTAATACGAAGTGGTACAGTTCATGTTTAAAAAGCGATGTTGGACTCCCACATGTTTACATATGATATCCGTTATAAATGCGCAGTATAAGATTGCTATGATCTCAGCGTTTGTTTACCTGGGGTAATTCAGTGTCTGCTAAAAGAGTAAGATTTACTCCAGCTGCTGGCTGTGCCGTGAGGAAACAATGGTGTTTATGGATAATATTTCTTTCATGGTAAAGTAAAATTTAGACTTCTACAAAGAAATGTCTGCCTATGGACAGAACACCAGTATGAATAGGTAATAATTAATTTAGTACATATGAAAAGGGGTCGTTAGGTCAGTAACATGATGTGCCAAAAAGTTTGTCACATAAAAAAATTAAGAAATAGACCTTTGAACAACAGCTTGGAAGTCATTTTTAACCCACATCTTTTCGCATTATGTAGATTTGCTAAGTGGTCTTTACTAGTTTCAACAAGAAGGTAGGGCTTTATTATCAGTATCTAAACATCTGAGTGAAAAGACATTGGATCTGGCATTCTCAGCTACTAAGTTCTATTTAGTCACGTAAACAAAGAGTTTTATTCAGCTAAAATGCATGTGACATTAGTGTTTAGCTATAAGCATTAAATTTGCTGATGTGGATTGAGATAAGGATTGTGTGTCTGTTGCCCTTCAACGCTCGAACGTAGATCAGCATAAATGCACCAGAATTACTTCCCACTTATCGTGGTTACATCTGCCTAATTATGCTGCTTTAAATTCAAACTCAGCAATCAAGTTCTGCTGCTGAGGGCTGTACTGCAAAATAGCATTTGGGACTTAGCAGGGTTACTTAAGGTTCAGCCCTGAGTTTTTAGTGTCACAAAGATTGTTGGAAGATAATGAAAAACATCGTCTTGGAGTTGTAAGATTCAAAATAAGGACATTGTCCTAAAACCCAAGTTTTGATACTCATGTGTAAGCAGGAGCAGTTTCCTTGAACTGAGTTAAGAAGTTGGAGGAAGGAAACCAGTAACACACATTCACATATCTGTGAAACCTAAGTTTTGATACTTGTCACCCTATATACATTTGTAAGCCTGCTTACAAGTTTGAATTGTGTTTTTGTATTTGTTCAGTCCATTTAACACGACCTGGGTTAGGGCTGAAAGAGCAAGCCGAATCTTGTCTTACCTGCCATAAGACTAGCATAATTTAAGCAACAAAACACTAGATACAATATGTAATTATAGTCAGATTCACCTGTGCCTTAATGAAGGCGTAGTGATTCTGGTAAACGTTAGGTTTTGTTGGCAGCTTTCCTTTCCAGTGTAAATGGACTTTATCTGTAAGCATTTGTCTAGTCTAAATCACAATTGCATTGCTTTTAGCCTGTATTATGCCAACAGCATACTTCTCCATGTGGTCGGTAGACTAGATTGGGAGATCTTGGATCAGCTTATGGAGCTGAAAACTACTTTAATTTGATCATTTAATAGGATTTTTGATGTTCGGGGAAAAACTGACAGGTAATAAAAAGTTAAGCGCTGTGTCAACAATTCATTCAAAAAATAGAAGTGCTAAAAAAATATGTATTGAAGTCACCTTTAAAACAGGAAGTGAATGCCCTAGATTTCTTTATACACAGCAACCTAGATGCACAGCCGTCTATAGAGCACAGCTTGCAAATTATATGGGTCAAATGCAATGGCTATTGTACTACCTAATTTACTCAAAGGATTGATGTGGATAGATATGTGTGGCTAGACTTATAGTTTTGTCACACGAATAAAGATTTTTTAAGTTCCTTTTTAATGATCTAAAAAAAGAAACCAGAAACAGGTTCAACTCTGTGGCTGCTAGCTGACATTGCTCAAGAGTCTTTGGGTGAGACATTCCCAGCTTGATCTCTCTGTGGAGACATGGGAATAGTGAAAGGCAGAGAGGTTTGTTTTATCATACTTTACACCTCAACTGTTTTATTCTTGTTAAGACATGTTTTCTGCTATGACACTGAATGCGTTTGTGCTTTGCCCAGTCTGATGCCCCTGTGCCGCAGTGTTTGTTCCTGTGTGAGAAGTTGACATTTCATAATAAAGTTTCCCCTCCCACATTGTCATCACGTCTCTGCTGCTCAGCAGTATCAGCCCTCTTGTCCATTACAGTCTTCTAATGTTTAATCTAAAATAAAAAACTTTTTTCATGAAATTCTGAGCTTATTTTAGAGCATTAGCCTCACCTGAGTTTCATGTTGTAGTAAAAAACCACAACAAGGTGAATTGAAACCTTTTTAAAGGTTTTTCTAAATATCTTAACTTTCACGTGATAGGGCACTGATTTTGCATATAGTACTGATGACTAATTTCCAAAAGTACAGCATGATATTTGTTAATGACAGACATGAAACATTCTTGAGACGGGAATGAACGCACTGCTTGCTTCTATTTCTGAAGAAGTCAGTCTAAATATTTCACAGCAAATTGCGCATACCATCGAAATCCCAAAATGCATCTATGCCACCGTTACCAGCCATAATGATGATTATGCAATGCCATCTTGTCACTCTCTAGTGACTTTCAGATCCTGTTTTCGCTGAAGGAAGAAAAAGTTGGTGCTTCTAACAAATACACTGAAAGGTTTAACGACCATAATCGACAGGGTTAGATTCGTTTATTGACAAGTGTTAGAGAGAAAAACACTTTTGCTATCACAGAAGCCTTTCATTTATGTCACAACATCCGCAAAGTAAGTCAACTATCGGATGTCTGTCTGTCAGATAACTCAGTCTCTGATGTTTGTGGCACAAACCTTCAAAGTGCTTCACCAGAACAGGAAGATATGAATTATTACCCAGTCATTATATCCCTTCTGAGCAGCAGAAATACATCAGAAAGAAATCAGTAGAATCGTGTTTACCTTATTTCTGTGGATTTAATTGGTTGAAATACATTGCATGTAGATTTTTTAATGTATTCAGAAATTCAAATTAGTTGGCTTAGAGGGGACAAACTGGAAAGCGACAGTGTTATGGGTGGGATTTCTACAGCATGTGACATTTAACATAGGTGTTTCTTTGGTTTCCTGTGAACTACTGCTTCTGTACCTTACATCAGCCCCTGCTTTTGCTTCTATTCTGTTCTCAGCCCAACATTAAGGAAGTGTCAAAGGAAGCTTAAAAACAGAAGTAAGCTAGACCCTGGAGCCAAAACAAGAGGCTGGAAATGGAAAAGCAAACTTGAGACACCCAAAACAACATCCTTTATGTTACAATGTTGTACATACACTTCACTGAGTAATTCTAAGTAGTCTTGCTTCACATCCACAAGGCTGTTGACAGTAACATGTGCAGTCTAAATCGGTTCAGCTTTTAACAGAGATGAAAAAAAGGAACAACCACATTGGAATTGCTGCAGTTATTCAAGTTTTATTGTACAGACGTGAATAAATTAATCTAATCTGTCATCTATCACAAAACTTTTTAGACATCCGCTCAAAGTTTTCAGTTTTGGCGCTTAAAACAAACAAACAAAAAAAAAAAGCCCACTCAGTATACTTTGATAGTTTATCAGCACGCAGGGTAAGGAGGGTAAGATATGCCGCCCACTCTTCTTTTTGGATTAAACCGTTGAAAGTTGTGACGAGCTAAGCGAGCCACATCTGAGATCTGGTTTGGGTTATGAGACACCCTCAGTGCAGACCGATCCTGAAAAATATTTTTAAAAACACCGTTTAATTTGTGACATGTACAGCACCCTCCGTAATTATGTTAACAAGAGCGAGAAACTGTATACTAGGAACAGCTGCTTATTTATTAATTATTAAATCAGTCAGCCCTGTGGCAGCTTGGACTGTATAAAAACCACACAGTTGTCCAGTTCCTCACCTCCAGTTGTTTATTCAGTGGTCCTTTTGGGTTCTTCACATTAACACTGCTCTGCAGGTCGAGGCTGCTGGGTGGTGGCAGGGTGCTCTGCCCTGTGTTGGACCACCCTGATAGACAGTGCTTGAAGGTGGAAAAAAAAGAAAGAAAAGAAAGAATGCTTTGAGATGAATTTATAGATTTGAATACAGGGGCCATAAAACAAGGTGCAGAGATGGCTGATCGGCTATACAGACCTCATGATCAAATTCACAATTGCGGGTACTTTACAGTCAGAACATCCGACCAGTTTAAAAAAAAAAAAAAAGCTGCTAAAGCCTTTCTAGAGATGGGATATGCAACACTTCTGTATCATAGTATCTGGTAAAGTGATGGCATTACTTCAGACACAATAATTTTCCTCAGAGCTATATTCATACAAAGTCATGGTACTTGTGTAATATATCTGAGATACCAAGTAGGACATCAAGCCACACAGGATGCATGAGGTCAAAATTTTCTTTCTGCGTCATAACAGGCCACAGTACTGCAAGTGTTCACTATGCTGAGCAACACGCATTCTGAGAGGTACACATTTATCAGGAGTAGTAATCTCGTGCATGCCTATCTCTTAAAGTTTGCAGCATTTAAATGTGCTGTGTCTACAGCACCATATTAAGGTGTTTATTGGTCTATATCGCCTGTACAGATACAGGTGATGCAGATTTGTCAGCTGCACCTCCATGATGTGGATCTCCTATTCTACCATATCCCAAAAATGCCCTCTTGGACTGAGATCTGGTGACTGCAGAAGACATTAGAGTACAGTGAACTCACTGTCATGTTAAAGAAACCACTCGTAGATGAACATGGCCTCAGTCTCCTGTTCTTAGCTTACAGGAGTGGCACCCAGTGTGATCTTCTGCTTTTGCCTTTTCCTATCAGGTCAATGCAACCTCACCCAGAGAAATGCGGCTCATCGGCTGCTCTGTCGCTTTCAGACCATTCCCTCTTAACCCTAGAGGTGGTTGTGTGGGAAAATCCCAGGAGATCAACAGTTTCTGAAATACTCACACCCACCCGACTGGCAAAAACAACTATGCCACGCTCAAAATAAGTTAACTCACCTTTCTTCCCTATTTTGGTTCTCACTTTCAGCAGTTTCAGTATGTCGTGTTGACCATGTCTACATGCCTAAATGCATTGCGTTGCTCCCATGTGACTGGTCAATTAGATATTTGTGTTAGCAAGCATATTAATGGGTGTACCTTACAAATTGGCCAGTGAGTGTGCGTTTGTGTGTATATACTGAAACATTACAGTTTATTAGCTATAAGAGCAGCAAGTAAGACAATAACCCGTGCACACGGTCTAACTGTTTTTAGGAAGTGAGATGCTGCACCTTCAAATCACCAATGAATGGAAAGACACAATGGCTAGAAGGGGTTTTATTATTGTGGGACAGTGGTTCAATCAAATCAAGTGGTGATGATCTTTAGTCATTAACCTGTAACTCACCGATGGTAATCCTAAACTGTCAGAAGGGTCAAAGCTGCATCGCCGATGAGCTTTGTATATGTAAGGTGGCAGAAGCCTGGTGCGAGGGATGCTGACCCTTAGAAATACAAGAGAAAGAAGATGAGTAAGAAATCTGAAGAAATCTATTGTGAGGTGATAATTTTTTCAAACTAATCCTGATAACTTTTTAGTCAATATCACACAGCAACACTACTGATTACAGCACATTTGAACAAAATGTAAAATGAGAATACAGGCGCCGTTGCTTTTAGTTATTAGGACTTGATCCAGTGGAGGTTTCGGACGCCCTTTTCACAGGTTTCCCTTGCCTTGTTGCAGTGTATCATACTACAGATCAAAGCTACCATAGCTTGCTTTTTGTGTCGAATTCAGAAACAGCTTCAGCTTTTAACGTGTAAAATATGGGAAGGCAGAAAAAAATAACACAAGGTCTAAGTCCCTGCTGCACACAGTAGAGCTGCTGCCTCCTGTATTCAATTGAAAGTGACAGACTAATATATTTTAGATAAAACTGATGAAGTGCTTTAATGTTCATAAGTGGTTTAACAATGCAGTTCAAGTGCAGGCCATCAGTACCTGATTAGAGCAGGTTCAGCAACAGTGTGAGGGTGGGAGGATTTAGGCTTTTTGCACAAGGGACAGCACTCCTGAGAGTGGAGGGGGACCGGGAACAGTCTGCTGTTAATCCTGTAAGAGAATGTACCTGCACAAAAGGTGAGCAAGCAGAGACAAGTGTTAGATCAGCCTTAATGAGAGGAAATAGAAAGTGGCCTGTTCAGATAAATGCTCCCTCTTACACTGATGAGTGTCCATGTTAGCTTGTGGGCCATCCTTGTCTGTTAGCAGTTGTGTCACTGGCTGGTTCCCCTGAGAGAATCTGTGAGGAAAATCTTAATGAACCACAGGAAAACACAGTATGGATATATAACAGAGATATTTAAAGAGCACCACTCACTCGGTTTGTCCACTGTGGACACACTTGTCCTTATTGAGCGATCGAAATACACAGAGATCATTGAAGAACTCGTCTGAGCGCTCTATCAAGGAGTCCTCAGTATCCAGCACTCCTAACAGGGTAAAAACAAACATCAGCTGTTATCGGTACTTCTGCTTCAAAGATAAAAAGTGGACTCAAGGCGTGGAGATGTCAGAAAGCAGCTAAACAGGACAGTTATAAGCACCTGGGTATCCCATCGGCCAACAGGAACCACAATAACAATACATGAAGGTCAGCTAAAGCCAAATACCTCCACAAGGTAAGACAGGTGCTGAGAAGCCAGCTCAATGTTAGGAAAAAGATCCAAGGCATCAATACAAACACCCTACCAATCACCAGATACCCAGCTGGAATAATAAGCTGGCCACAGAATGAGATAGACACTAATGATGTAAAGACACAAAAACACCTTACAGTGCACAGAGGTGTCTACCTGAAGTCCAGCACCCTGACGCTCTATGAGCAATGGAACGAGAGGCAAGAGCGACAGGATGAAACACGGAGCATACGTGAATATACCATGAGGATCGCCCCTTGAGATGAGCTGCTCCAAGAATACCTCAGGCAGCTGAAGACAGACGGTGATGACAAAGAGGAAGAGGAACTATCACTGGACGACCAACCTCCTGCATAGGATGTACCATTGACATAAGACAGATACAGAGGAAGTGGCTGACACCAAGAAATCCTACCAGTTGCTAGAAAAGGCCGGCTTAAAGAACAGCACAAAGGTTCAGTCCGAACCTGGGTGGCTGGCTGGGATAATGTTCAGGAATATGTGTGCCCCATATGGACATATGGCCTTAATTCAAAAGAAAAAGCTGTAATAAATGTATTGAGATGTCTGTGGATATCTCCACAATCAGACTTTTTAAATTATTTGTTAATCTAGGGCACCACAATAGAAAATGCAAAGGTTATATCTAGGTTATATCTATTTCACTACTGCAGGTTCTATGAGTCAGTACTTTCAAAAGCATATTGTGAAAATGTATTACATGTGGGATTAAAAAAAAGAAATCATGTAACTTGACTTTTCAGCATTATAGATTTCCTATTACTAGAACGATTAAATCAAAGGTCAGAGGAAAGGTCAAAAGGTTAAATAGATCTAATAATAAGATTTGAAATATATGCAAACTAATTTAACCTAAATTAGCAAAGCGTGGCTCCCTATATTTCAGGAGCATTTTGGCTGCAGATCAGTGCGATATGTGACAGACCGATAAAGCTTACCTGCTATCCAGTCATATCCGAGTAAGGGTGGTAGGTGATGCCTCTCTGGGTCAAGGACGTCTTTGAAATCGTCCGACTGAAACGTGACCCTGCTCTGCACACCCCTCTACAAAAAGAAAGCAGGCAGTGCATTAGCAATCAGCATATTCTACTTCCACCTTTTCAGTGGACATAAAGCACACAGCTTGCTGCAGACTTGTAGTTTATAAACTAGTTGTAACGATATAAATACAAAGCTCCCAAACCAATGTAGATGTGAATTAGCTTTTTTGAAGGGGGATTGTCAGTGAAATACTAGTGAGTGCCTTTTCAGTTTGAGATGAATTATTTATTCCTACTAACTTTATAAGAGTAACACAGGCAGGGTAATGCTGATGCTCCTTTGCTTACCTGTCCTTTGCTCGGATTTACTACACAGGACTTGGTGCTGAATGGCTCTGTGTCTTGTTTCTTGCTGCCTCTAATGAGATCTGATTTAACTGTTTGTTCAGCAGTTCCTTCTCTGTGTTTGGTGAAAGATGGTGTGAAAACAGTCTTTTTGATGACTGTTCTTTTCTCACAAGTGTCTGATGAAGACAGGAAGAAAATGATTTCTAAATGATTATTTCACACATTACATGCAGACCACAGGCTCACAGTCAAATGGAAAGTACCAGCAGGATAAAAAGGCTCCACAACAAAAAAACAAAACAAACAGAAAAAAAACAACCTGTCAATAGTGTCAATAGTGAAAAGGTGATAAAGACACAAATATTTTTTTATTTTAGTTACATTTGAACACATATCAGTTAATTGTCATCTCTGATGAATGGTAATAAAGGTGCACTTTGTAGTTTTTCTTCCAGATACTTTCAAATTTTACACATCATTTCATCATGTATATACTAAATCCACTATTAAAAAATAAAACCAAGCACCATCCACTCTCTATAATAAAGCTCACATCTCCAGGGAAGAAATACTTATATTTAAAGTACTTTATTAATAATTACTTCAGGCCTCAGTCACACTACACCACGAAAAACCATTTGTCTTGCATTTGATTGCAAGTGTCTGAAGTGGAATGTTGAGCATCTTAATTTAATCAAACCTATCATACTATCGAGGGGCGTGAAAGAAATGTGAATATGTTGCACTGTGTGAGCGAACTGCTGCTTCACTGTGTCGAAATGTGACTAAAAAACTGAAACGCCCACTCTGCTTGCTGTAAACAGAAAAAATGAAGTTTTATCCATTTATCTGTTCAGTTCAGTTCTGCTTTATTTCAGGGTTGTTAGGGAACAGAAATATGCGGGCCTTTGCTCTAAACACTCACAGTTACGGGGCAAAGCCAAAGTTTTGGCACTGCACTCAGCTTTGAGCAATCCATCCGTAAAAGTTACGCACTCATTCTGCTAAACTTGCTCTCCTCTCATTCCAAATAAATGAACACTCCTAAAGACAACTAATGCACATATATCGGGCGCAAAATAAGACTTTTTTGTGCTATTTGCAGGCATTTGCTAAAAACTTTAGCAACTCCGTTGTATGTGATTTATTACATTATATCCTCACTTGGAGAAGTAAATGATGGAGCAGACTAACTCCGACCGATCTTGGCAATTAATTTTCCATTTACAAATAAGACAGTGATTAACTGCAGACGTGATACAGGTTTACTCCCACAGTGTGGCCTATGCAGTCGCTTTGCAACCAAAGCTGGTCACTGAGAGGTTGAGGGTGCTGCACGCTTAACCTCTAGATCATAGGTGTCAAACTCTGGCCCGCGGGCCAAATTTGGCCCGCAGCCTAATTACATTTGGCCCGCGAAGCCATACCAAATTACTATTAGAGCTGGCCTACCGGTATTATACAGCTAATATATATATTGTTTAGTATTAAGCTTTGCTTGTTCCATATTCAGTTTTTCAGAAAAACTTGTTTGAGTCCATAAGAAAAGATTTATTCTTATATCTGGAGGAAGATTTTTTTTTTTCAATAAATATTAACGTTAGCCTGCGACTTTGTTCCAGTTTTGAATTTTGGCCCACTGTGTATTTGAGTTTGACACCCCTGCTCTAGATGACAATTTGGTTGGTGCAACTATTTGCAAAAAAATTCATTCCAATCACTCACCAACCACCACCTCTCGTGATCGCACAGAAGTTACCGGCCTATTTTTCCTCTAGTGTGACTGAGGCCTTAGTGAAATCCGAAACAGACTATGAGAGTTTGAGAGTAAATATGTGAAGTTTGGTTCTGTAATGTCTGTTATAGCATCAGGCGCTGCAAGTTCTAACTGGGAATGAAGCAGTAAAGTGACGGTGAGGTTAGGGTCTTTTCACTCAGGAGTGAGGCAGCAATTGCACCTTCTGTTGCAAAACCAACAAACATTGCACATTACATGTCTTCAGAGACGCCCACATAACAAGGCTTTCTGACTGCGAGATGTGAAACAGCAGCCGCGGTGCACAGACCCAGTTCAGTTTCACAGACTGTAGAACAACCCACATGGCACAGTAGCAGTATCTGTATTAACACACAGACTGCTCTGGATATGATAGCAAATTACCTTTTTTATCTTGTACACAAATATTTTGTTCTTGGTAGAATACTGAAATGAACGAGCTGCGTTTGTGTTTATACATTTATAAATTTGCCCTTTTTCAATCTGGCTGTCTGTGATCGAGAGAATCAAACCCCATGTGTGGCTTCTTCGTGGTCTGCCAGTAGCGAGTCCACCTCTAGATGTTACAGCACCACAGATCTGATGCAGATAGCAACAGATTAGAGATTTATCACAGCTAATTGGGGGATTATTGCAAATAGATTGCATGTAAGTGGCAACTTGATCCTTTTCAATCAAAAACTGATTAAACAGGATCAAGACTGAGTCCATCGTATTTTCATTTTATTGCAGTCTTGACACACCAAGGTCATTTTGCAGATGGCAACTGACTGGGAATGGTCTCAGACTTGGTCACTGACTTCGAAATAATATGTTACTATTTCATGAAAAATATATGTTGACTTTCATTTTGATGGCAGCAAAACATGGGCCAGGGGCAACGAAGGCCAGAAAAGTAAATGGTACTAAAAAGAAACAGTTAGAGGAGCAGGTCAAGATGATTGGATTAAAAAAAAAAAAAGCGTTTTAAACAGGCAGAGTTTCCCAGAATCAAAGATGGGCAGAGGTTCAGGAATCTGTACAAAACAGCATGCACAGCTTGTGGAACAGGTTCAGAATAATTTCTTCAATGTGAAATTAAAAAGATTTTGAATATCTAATCTACAGTACATAATATCATCAAAAGATTCCAAGAGTCTGAAGAAATCTCTCTACACAAAACACAAGGCTGAGAATCAATACTGGATGCCCACAGTCTTCTGACTATCAGGCAGCACTACATTTAATGATGACTCTCTCATGGAAATCACTACATGGACTTAGGTAAAGTGAAAACTGTTTATTTTTGGAAAACATGGCTGCTATGTCCTTTGGACTAAAGAGGAAAAGGGGCATAGAGCTTGTTAATAATGCTCATGGCATGGGAATACATCAGCATCTATGAAACTGGCATCTGGAAAGGTCTCATGAGTGCTCAAATATATCCTCGTTTCCAGACTTCTTTTTCAGGGAAAGTCTTGGATATTTCAGTTCCTCCATGCTGCATGTATTTCAACAGCATGGCTGCTGGGCATTGAACTGGCAAGCGTACAGTTACTTCTAACCAAGTAAAAGCATTTGACACATCATGAAATGAAAAATTTGACGAAGAAGACCATGTGAGCAGCTAGAATCCCCCAAAAGACAAGAATGGGACAACATTCCTGTCCCAAAAATCCACCACGTGGTCTCCTCAGTGTCCAGACGTGTACACAGTGGTAAATATGATCCTGTCCCAAGTTTTTTGAGACGTGTTGCTGCCATCAAATTCAAAATGGCATTATCTTCGCCTCTAAAACCGTACGTTTTCTAGTTTAAACATTTGTTCTAATGTGAATATGCGCCTACGAGATCTGCAGATCATCGCAGTCTGTCTTTATTTAAGTTTTACACGTTCTTGGAGTTGGGGCTGTATATGTGAAGGAGTTTAATCTGGCTATCTGGTAAACAAAACGTCGACAGCTTTGGTTTGTTGTGATGTGAGGTCTGGATTGATCAAGAGCAACTCTGATGTGACCTTAGCTCATTGCTAATTACTTTCTGTCGTGCTGCTGGCGTCAAGTAAACAAACAGTTTAATTACCGGCAAACTTCACGGAAGACTTGGCTAGGGCTGCCCTTGCAGGGCCACGGTCTCCACCGGTCATCCCGATCGTTTCTTCAAGTGGTCTTCTCTCCTCAGCTCCATCCTCTCTCTCCCTCTTGCGGCTTTCACGGCAGCCGCACAGCCGCTCCAGTTTCTCTCCATGCTGCCTCAACTGGTCCAGTAACTGTTTATTGCGCTCTCGCAACACCTCCAGCCGATCCATGGACATTTAGTTTTAATATTAGAGAAAGCAAATAAAATGTAGCTTTAATTAAAAGTACATCAAACACACAAAGAAACTTTCGGGATCTTCTATGCTTTCAATTAGGCCGACTCCATAACAACGCGTTGACAACAGTGATTTGATTGGCTGTTAACATTTTACCCACAATTCTGAGCATTCTTAAAGTGACAGGCACACGTGTAACTATAAATTTTCACTACAAGGCCAGATGTTGAACAACAGAGGGCGCCACACTTCCATGATGGAAACACTGATGAGACTGATGGGTGACTTCCCCAGAAACAACAGGACCCACGTTTTTTAGGATATTTTTTGTATTAACATCACCTTCTGCATACCCATTGCCAAGATAATAGAGGAGTTTTGAAATTATGTATTTATTTTTAAAGTAGGAGAATTTTTTTTAAATGCCATAAAGGAGAACATAATCCAAAGTTCATTATAAATATTAAAATTAGCAACATCATGAACAATGAACCTTAAAAGCAGTTTGTTCCTATGATGTACTAGTTACATTCCAATACATTTTTAATGTTGATATACATAACCATATAATATTTAATCATGCCTCCATAACTTTGCAGCCTTTTGTTTTTTGTAAAAAAATTTTTTAGTGTTTCTGTAAAAGTACTTGGTTGCTCTCTACTTATTGATAAGGTCAGTGATGTAAAAATATGAATGCACAAGGTCAAACTTAGTCTTAAAGCCATTCACAAAGCATGTTTTAAAAATTTTACAAAACACGAGCCCAACAACATCCAGCTAATAAATGAAAAGAAAAAAATGTTATTTATAGCACAAGAAAAACAAAACAAGATACGATAGACTACAGAGAACAGAACAAGCCTTTAAAGGCTGAGTTGAGCCTAAACAGTACCATCGGGGTTTCAAAGAAAACAAGGACAAAATGTTCCCAAGAAACCCATATTAGGTGCAAGGAAGACCAGGCAGCTCAGAGGAAAATCCTCCACAGGCCCCTACAAGAGGTGCTAGAAAATAATAGAACCTTTGGTGAATTTGCAGTTAAAACTACTTGTATTTACAGCCTTTATGTCATACACAGTTTAGGATATTTGGCATGTGGTAATGAACTTGTTTGCAAATTTCCTAAATGAAGACACAGGCTCCCTAATAACTGCAAAACCCACCCATCACTTGTCAGCAAACTATAATTATTCTACTTCAGGGTCTGACATACTTCTTGTTTTCAGTACTCGGACATCTCCAGTTGTCATTGATACTGCCAGAGAGGCATTCATTTTTAAGACCACAATTTTTAATGTTACTGTGTTATACTGACTTGTCTTTGTACTATTTTGCATGTGCATTTTACTAAAACGAATTGAGATGAACAGCAGAAACAAGAGCATTAACGTCTCTCTGAGCCCTAACTGTAAATTGCAGTAATAAATTATATGAAGGCACTTTAAGTGACTGACCTGTTGCATTTGGACTGGATTTAAGTCTATGGGTGTATCTAATATTTTTATCTAACATACAAGCAGTTATCGCCATGACTGTATTTGAACATGACCCAGCTGATGTTTTTGCCCAGCTGCTGCTATTTACTCGTAAGATTAAAAATATAGAAGAGCGCCGGTTAACATTTGCTTACAGTTGTACTTTATTTATTCTGTTTATCTGTCTCAGTGGCAGTAACTATACTTTGCCCATGAAGTTCAGGATGTGTCTTCATCCTATGATTCTCTTATACATACAAACTTTAGTCTCTATGAATATAAACTGAGAGAAACTACAGCAATGAACATGCACGCTTCAGTTTCCTGTTTTTCTCAGTTTTAAATGTGATGTCGTCATCAGAACTTTTTTTATACCTTAGAGTTCTCGTAATACACCAAGTACTACCGAATCAGCACATTCTTTTCCTGTTGCCACGCTGCCGTTAGCTGATGATATTCGTATCAGATAAGAGCATGCAAAGATCAATCAATAATCAGAATTTCTTGCCAACTTCCTGTAGATCAGCACCCTCATTTTCTTCTCATTGTATGACCTTTCAAGGGCAATCTGTCCTTGTAAAAGTGTAGACAGCAGCATGTGGTCACTCTTTTTACTGGGTGGCTTGATGACATTGGTTTATTTACATTAAACTGTCCATGCGTGGTAGCACTAATGACATTGTTGCAGGTGTTGCAGGGTCACACCTATAATCATATGCCTGATCCCCTGTGGAGTGAATGGTGTGGAACTGTGTGGGCGAGCACCTGCTCAGTATTCCAGTCACGGCTCGTTTGCACTGAGAGCTGTCCAGGCCGGCCCAGTATGATTAGCTGACCACAGTAGTGTGGCGTTGCACCCCATTATCATTAAACAGTACCAGTCATGAAGTCATATACTCCTCCCTGTCTCTCTAATTACACCCCCACTGTTGGGCTCTGAGCAATTACTGCCCGCCGCCAGAACGTTTCATTGTTCATTAGGCACAGATAACGGACACATCAACAACAAAAACAAAAGAAAATGTGAAAATATTCATATTTCTGATAACGAAATCACCTAAGAAAGACATTTTCTTTTCAAAGAAACCACTGATGTGTTCAGAAGAATGGCTGTGCAATTATTAGAAAATGAGTCCCATGACCCAGAGAAACTGTTATATTTGTCGTGATGTGTTCAGAAGGACCGTTTCAAGTCTTTGTATCCTTTCCTGTTTGGCTCTGTGTAATGAAGCTCTTACTAAATACTAAATCAGCATAGTGCAATTGGCTCACATATAGAGGGAAAGAACTGTTTACCATTACAGTTGCTTAAAGCTATTTATGTATAACTTAGCTTATAATAATAAAGAAACAAATAGCATTAGTGACAATAAGTATTAATAAGAATTAACATATAGACTGTATACAAAAGCCTGGAGAGCCGCTGCTATTTTAGTTTTTGGGTTTTTGGAGTGAGAATTAACAATATTTAGATGAAAGAACAGAGTGTTGCCAACTAACAGGCAAATTTATTTAGAAAATTATTTCTATGCGTAATTTGTGATGAGATACAAGTGAAATAAAACTGGAGCATAGCTTTCTTTGACTTGCTGGGAGTACATTAAACGCACCTTAAGCTGTAGTATTTAGCAGATAATTCAATAAAAATGCTCCAAAAGGCACCAACGGCACAAATATGAGCTGGAGTTAAAGCTGCCCAGTCGGACTCACCCTACCTTCAAAAGAGCCACACCCTAATAATATATAACTTTTGTCCAACAAGATTTCTATAAAAATCAAACCTCAGTAGCTGTTACGAAGAAGAAATCTACTATAGCTATAAACATGTTGTTAATTGCTCTAAGTTGGGCATTTTAACATTTGAAAAAGGAGAGATCATTTGGAACAACTGAACATGAGTTGAAATAGACAAATTTGTTTTTATTGTCTTCACTAATTATTGTAGAAATGAAAAATCACAGCGATTTTCGCAAATTGATGATGATTCATCTCACGAATTATGACACACTGCTCTCCCCTACATAAACCTTCATAGGTTTAAAGTGTCAGTATCAATATTGGTATCATCAGTACTGTCCCTGTATTAACTTGGTATTAGAGCAATATCATGGCAGAGAGCACTGAGATTTAAACCACGCAGAGTGGAGGCTGATTGGCTCAAAGAAAGTGGGGAAGAAGATATTAGACTCGTGTAATGATATCACTAGTAATGATGTCGCTTTGCCGCACTGAGTTTGATAGCATGGGAAAATGGTAGTGAAGAAAAGAACAGACTAGCAGCCAAACACCCAGGAAAGCAGGCAAATGGATGAATACAGATCTTACTTATTTGAAATTATGCATAAGTTCAATAAGGAAGATCTGCATAATAGTAATAGAAATTTGGCACTAACGTCAAATGGCCAGTGGAGCACCTAGGCGTGTGCCCACAAGGGTGTGCACACTGGACGCTTGTCACATATTACTTTGAAACTGATGGCATTCAAGCCTCTTGTTGCATAGATGCCTAGATGTATTTACTACCGGGTCATATGTCAATCAAAAGTATTCTTCATTGTTAATAGTGGTCACTTCATTACTTGCCTGGAAGTAGGAGTGCCAAAGACACTAATAAGAACAAATAGTTTTAATTTTGACCATCGGATAGGAGTCTATCTGATGGTCAAAATTAATTTTTATTTTCACATTCAGCACATTTTGGTGTCAGACCGATCTCCTGAAATGACAAATGCATCATATTGTATAAACAGTTTTAGTCTTAAATACAAGAAACATGTGGTGAAAGAAGACAATTTTGTTTCCTTGTGCTACAGTGCCTGAAACAGAAGAACTAAAACACAGAACTAACAAAAAAGTGATCCAACTGATGCTGATAGCTATCAGCTCCTGAGCAGCAATTATTTTTCAGAGCCGATTATCATCCATGGTAAATGATTTCTGCACACAGAGTGTTTTGGACAGTGAAAGTCTTTCACATACAGCTCAGCTCCCTTCACGTTCGCGATGAAAAGAAAGATAACGTCACAATAAGACAAAGTAGAAGATTTAGGCTGAGCTCAGATTTATTAATATGAATGCTGTTTGAATATTTCAAATATTTTTAAGCATTTCAAGCAAAATCTTTGCATTCACATTGCATATTCGCTAGGACATGCTTTTTCTGAGTTTTAGTGTTTATACAGCACATACAGTTTTGCCTGGGAAACCAGGTATATCTACATTTGTTTTCAGTCGACCTAGGGAAACTCAACTTTCTTGTTATAAAAGCCAAACTGTGATAAGGCTTTGCAAAGAAAATCTTTTTTAAAAATCTGAGCTACAAAGCCTCTCTTGACTCCCCTGTTGCAAAGTCCCTATTGCCACAGTGGGAATATGGGGAGGCAAAGAAAATAACCCAGAGCCAAGGTACACACCCAGACTGTGTGTTCTTTGTATTTGCACATAAATGTGAGTGTTTTGTTTTTTCAGATACGTCAGCCATATGCCTATTTCAACAGCAGCGACGTTTCCTGAGAAGATTTTTTTAATGTTTTCCTGGAAACATGCATCTGGACATCAACCGAGGCTGGGATTATCACATTGCACAAGAAGATTTGGTAAGTTCAGAGTGACACAGGCCTACTGATGGTGAGAGAGCAGGGTGACCAACA